GCAAGAAATATGAGCTGTCAACTTTTTCAAACTCGCTCGCCAGTCCTCGCTCGTCGTTCAGCCATTCAGCACCATCATCGGGAAATTTGGGATCATCAGCGTCGTTGGGTGGATTGGAGTTGAAGGGTCTTGGTTGAGGTGGACGGAGTCCAGGGAGTGGAAGGTCTTCAGACATATCCATGTCTGAAGCTGTACGCTTGTGGAAAATAGTTTCGTCCATGTCTCGCCATCGAACAAGCAATTTTTTGGTGGGATTTGCATTCTGCATAGTACGAGTGTGATTCACTGATTTGAGGTTGAGGTGCTAGCCAGAAACACATACCTCAGGTTTGTAACGATGCCACTGTCGAATTTTGATGTGATCTTGAAGTGTCCCAAGGTTTTGATTAGCGCGACGAGGAGAGTTCAACCATGTGATGGTGGACATAGTGTGTTCGTCTGCCATAGAAATAGGAACCGCAGAGAACATTTTGATTGCAATAATCTACACCATAACGGATATAGTCAGTGATAAAGGAACAATGGGAGCATACTCACCGGAAGTACATCAGCAAGTTCATCTCCTGATTTCAGGAGTGCTCGCCAGTAATCCCGCGGGCTCTCATTTGAGCGCATCTTGTGTTGAACGGATCTTCAGCACGGAAATAGGCTTTCAGCTGACTCTGAAGACGAGTGAGCGCTTCTGCAGGAGTCAAGTGCGCAAGTGCAGGGTTATGAGACTCCTCAGGGTCTAGTCGAGCTCGATGATGACTAGGACGGAGGATAATGCAGAATATACTTCCCCCACTTTGTGACGTGGCTGAGCAAATGCAGGTTCTCTTCCGTCCAGCTTTATCTCTACTATTCTTCCTCGCGATCCATTGGATAAATTCGCCGACGTTGCTAAATTCCGAGTCACATGACGCGCATTCCCATTGCCAATCGTAGAACTGTGGGTGTTTGCTTTGTGTGCTTCACCGACAATTTCGCATATGAAGTCGTCGTACCATGCTGAGTCCATGACTTTGTGTAGAATTTTCCGCGCGACAAATGTTACATAGAGTGTTCTTCGTCGATAGAAATGTTTGACAACTGCACGGTTATTACATTACGTTTGCACGCTGTTTCGTGGAGTGATAAGAATGGCGTCGTTCCACATCGGAACAGCAAAATTCGGAATATCACATTCGTCATTGGAGAGGACTAGACGGTGTATGATTGCCAAATCGGCACTCCATCCCAATCCGTCTTAACCACCCCTCAGACAATGTATCCTTCGCCTGCGACGACCAAACTTCCGCGCTGCACAACATCTCCTTCAAAGTCCCCCGCGGAGGGCGTACAGCCCTCGTAAGTAAGAGCGGAGCAGGCAAAAGCACAATCCTGCGCCTCCTCTACCGGTTCCACGACCTCCTCCAACTAGTGATGTGCACAATCCGGCTTCATACGGTACACATAGCCCCACGGACTTGCTGCTGCGGTATTAGGACCTGTTTCAGTGTTTGATCGCTATACGTACCATGTACTATGCGTTAGCTTTATCAGATACCACGCTACCGGGATGGCTTTGTGACAGAAAAAATTTCATGTTTCGAAGTGCAGCACTTAGGTGAGTTTGGTTGGCTTCAAGGATGTCGAGACCTTTCCATTTGCATACGCAGGATTCTCGCGGCAACAATTGTTACATGCCAAAAAGCTTTTACTGAGACCTGTATAAATAGTCTGCAGATCTATACATAAAATATTTGAATTCTTTGATACCGCTCTCCCAGCTGGCCGGGGACCAAGCTGTTTGCCTTGTTGGCGTATGCCCATAATACATCCCTGAAAGATGCATATCAAATGCAATTGATACCCAAGTCTTCAGCAATGATCATCGCAACCCGCTCTCCAATGAGAAGCGTCGTCGAATACGTTTTCTGTGGATATCGTTAGACCGCACATCAAAAATCCCTTGCTCAGCACCCACCGTGCTGACGTTCCACGGCAAGATGAACATATCTGCGACCTTCAGGTTTGACACGCCGTATACATTTAGTCGAGCGTCGACGACTCCTTGATCTACCTCGATTTCATGGCACAAGTTCCAAGCTACACATACAAAAATCAGATATAAAATTATGAAAGGTGCAGCTAAACACACCGAGTGCCGTATCGTTTGCACTGAAATTCGTTTCAGTATTTAACCGTGACTATGGGGATGGCAAGTCAGGATTTACTGATGTTGCGGTGGAATTGATTGATCGCCTTGTCATCTTCTGCAGTGTAGATGATGTCAGGCGCATTCAAGTCCACTGGTCCGGACGCTTCTCTGCAGACAGCAGCGCTTCCCTCTGGGAAATCAGGATGGCCAGCAGTGACTTCACCTCGGTAGCAAGACATGCGTCGAAAATTTCGCACGTCTTTTCGTACCCAAAGTCAAGAGGTACAATATCGGATGGACTATGCGGATTATCGTAGTCACGCAAGTTGCCCCAAATAAAATGCGTCGATTGCATATATGAGTTGTCGTCTTTATGTAATATATCTCACCTGTCTACAGGCCTCTAGTCATTGGGGACGTCTACACTCCTGTAAACGCTGGCAAAGAAAGATAGAATTGCAGGGATTACGTCGAACACCGGCGACATTGCAGGTAACGTTCTGGTTGTGAAACATGCGCAGGGGAAGAGGCACGAGATCATGGACTGCGACGAGGTGGACATACCATGGGTCAATGGTATCATGAAACAGTGAGTACAACGCCATGTAGGGAACCGTGCACTGACAATTGCCAGGTCCTTGAAGCGTGGGAGATTCTGGAATTGAACGGGTCTGAGGCAGAACGGGCTTCGAATGTGGTTTCGCTTGTAAAGAATGTGGTGCTTTTCAATGGGTCGAAACTGAATGGGATAGACTATGGAATAGTGTTGTACATTGTTTCGATATACTAGCTATAGGTGATTCGTGAGGAAACTTTGTGTAGCAAGCGGCTAGCCAAATTTATCATGGAGGGACTTGCTGCGTCAGCGGCGATACGGATTATGTAACCGTTATCTGGATATCACCGCTGCTGCAGTTTCTTAAAACCAACTTAAGTGGGATACACCTTGTTGAACACACTCAAATTCTCTTCATTCATTTTGCTCGGCAGCATCTCAAATTGATTTCACTTGTTGCACTACATGCAATATAGTACCCGTGTGCTCTCCTGCGGATGATGGTGTAAAGTAAGTATTATGCCTCCAGATCCACAAAGCGTCCTGACGTCCACTTCATTGCATAGATCGACCATGCCTGCATGATGAATGCTGGTGCAAGCCACGACGGTTATGGGCCTACCTATATGAGTTGAAACATTATGGGGGCATAATTTTTTCCTGCAGGAAAGGAAGAGGAAAGGAAAAAGGAAAGAGGAAAATAAATACCTATATGAGTTGAAACATTATGGGGGCATACCTATATGAGTTGAAACATTTATATGGTCAAAACTGAAATAGGTTTCAAACTTGTGAAACTATTTCTTTTTGTGGGCTGGTACATATCATGGAGGGTATGTCTAGGAATGATACCTATATGAGTTGAAACATTTATATGGTCATTTCAGAAATAGGTTTCAAACTTGTGAAAAAAATTTCTTTTCATGGGCTGGTACATATCATGGAGGGTACTTCTAGGAATGATATGAGCCAACAATTAAAGAAATCGGCGGTTGGGTTGTGGAGATATGGCCAAAATACTGACTTTTTGGCCCCACCACCATATGTCACCAATATTGATCTCCAGGTGGTCCAGGATCATCACCAATCGATTCCTACACCTAAAAAACCCTAGGACAGGCCTTTACAGTATCGGTCTTAAGTTAAATTCAAGCACAGCAAAATATAGGAGGTAGGAGGGGGGAGGAGGACCTTGTATATCTCAAGAACGCGATTTTTTCTGGGAAATCTGGCTCGACCATCGTGTTCAGGTGGATCAAGAACCCCCAGGAAAAATGCTTTTGTAGCACTGGCAAGTCATGGGAAGTCTGTAAAAATCGATCTTTGTGGGGGGTATGAGGCAAACTGACATATTTCAATTCAAACAGGCTAGAAATAATCTGGGACCATCTCCAATCGATTCCTGTGATCATAAAACACTAGGAACATCCTTTGATATATCAGTATTCACATAATATGAAGATATATGAGATAGGAGGGGGAGGGGGACCTTGCATATCTCAAGAACATGATTTTTTCTGGCAAATCTGGCTTGACCATCATGTTCAGAGGGTTCAATAACCCCCAGGAAGGATGCTCCTGAAGGACTGACAAGTCATGGGAAGCCTAGAAAAATCGATCTTTGTGGGGGGGGCATCAGGCAAACTGACACATCACAATTCACATGGGCCCGGATGACTCTGAGACCATCTCCAATCACTTAATATGATACAAAACACTAGGAACATCCTTTTATACATCAGTATCGACATGGAATCCTGCCTCTGGGCACAGTAGGTAGTAGGTAGGGGGAGGGGGTAGCATCACTCTGAAATATGATTTTTTCGGACCAAACCAGTGTTCCCATCAGATTCAGACGGCCAAATAACCCCAGAAACAAGTTCTATTTGAAGCCAAGCAAGTCATATGAAAGCTCAAAAAATCAATCATTGGGTGAGGCAGCATAACAGGGGTGACATTGCTTACATAAGCAAAAGCGGTCAACTTGACCATAGGTGGGCAACTTTGCAACAACATGACTTTGCCATATCAAATTGTTGCTCCTACTGGTCTATGGCTTCAGAAATAAGCCTGAGATCAAGCTATGCAAGTCATGCAAAGGCTGACAAAATTGACTTTGGGTGAGGGCCTCAGCACAACAGGACTTGATAACTCATGACTTTGGAACATGATTTTTTCGCACCAAACAAATGCTGCTATCAGATTCAGGAGGCTCAATAACTTCTAGAACAAGTCCTATCTTGAGCCAGGCAAGTCATGTGAAGGCTGAAAAAATCGATCTTAGAGGGTAAGGCAGCATGACAGGGGTGTTCAAATTTGAAACATGATTTTTACACATGAAATGGGCATGCCCACTCGATTTAGATGGTTCAATAACCTCAGGAACAAGTTCAAGATACAGTCATACATGTCATATGATGGCTGGAAAATCAATCTTAGAGAGGGAGGCAGCATATCAATGTTGGTTATTTGCTTCTAATAAGCCAACTTGCAAAATTTCAACAAGCATCTTCCAATTACAATATATAGCTTTCGTTTGATTGACGCTGATCATATGCACAAAAATGTGCTGTTTCATCGAATATTTCTTATGATAAGATGTGGCTTTATTATTGTGGCCTGATGTGACAATGATTATATAAGCAAAAATGCGGTCAACTTGAACCAAAAAATTCTCTTTCTTGCTTCTCCCTCCCTCACTCATGTATTTAATTGCTGTCCCTTTGTAAACTGTACATATTTTGTCTTTGTAGTTCTGGGGCCTTTTGTGGTTGGTGTTACCCTTTGTGAGGGTCAAACCATTGTTGATGGCACCACCTTTTTTCGCTTCTGGGGGCTTTTATGGCTGGTGCAACCCTTTGTGAGGGTCGAGTCATTGTTTATGACACCAACTGTTTTGATTCTATGGTTGGTGCAACCCTTTGTGAGGGTCTAGTCATTGTTTATGGCACCAACCATTTTGATTCTGGGGGCTTTATGGCTGGTGCAACCCTTTGTGAGGGTCTAGTCATTGTTTATGACACCCACCTTTTCCCTTCTGGGGGCTTTTATGGTTGGTGCAACCCTTTGTGAGGGCCAAGTCATTTTTTATGACACCAACTGTTTTGATTCTGGGGGCTTTATGGCTGGTGCAACCCTTTGTGAGGGTCTAGTCGTTGTTTATGACACCACCCCTTTCCCCTTGTGGGGGCCTTTATGGTTGGTGCAACCTTTGTGAGGGTCGAGTCATTGTTTATGGCACCAAACTGTTTTGATTCCGGGGGCTTTTGTGGTTGGTGTAACCCTTTGTGAGGGTCGAGCCATTGTTGATGGCACCAACTGTTTCAGATCCGGGGGAATCTTGGTTAGTGTGACCCTTTGTGAGAGTCAAACTACTGTCAGTACTAACAAATGTTGCTTCTGACGGCATTTTGACTTTGTGCATTTATTCTTCGTGTCGCCCTGTATGATAGTCAAATCCCTGTTAATAGCACCTAATGTGACTAATAAATTTTCGCTTTTGAGGGCCTGTGTTGTTGTTGTCACCCTCTACGAAGATCAAGCCATTGCTGACAGTACTAATAATAATTTTCACTTCTGGGATGGTTTCCGTTGATGTCACCCTGCATGAGTCTAATATTATCACCGATATGAACAACAAATTTCGCTTCTTGAAGTGTTCGAGGTAGAATGACCATCATACTTGTATGTTTGTCACTGGATTCTCTATACACCTGGGTGACTCAAACTTCAAGAAAGATGTCTGAAACCAAGCATAAATTCTGTCCTCGCACCCTATGTAAGTAGATGAGCCACTGGCTATGACACATAGATAAGTTTGTCTATTTATTGAACAAGTTTAAAAACTATAGTGACTGCCAGTATATGGCAAGCCAAGAATAATAGATGTGATGTAGGGAGTTGTGCCTACAGGCTCACACCTGGTATCGTCAGGGCATTCAGACTGTCAAGTAACCTGGATTGCACATTCAGATCATGATTGATGACTTGGATGACATCAATAATAGATGGATGCACGTGTCTGGTGATGGAATGGACATTTGACAATGTCCTACCTGGTCCAATAAGATCACTAGATGTCTGAAGTCTGAGATCTACTTATATGGATCACATATTCAGGTGGGCCTCCTGTGAATATTTGTGGTCTGTGATTGACTACCAATAGCCAATTGATAGCATCATTGTTTCACGGCAGGAATTCCAGTATCATCAATTCTAGAGAAATGTGATGACTGTCCACCATCAGAGATACTATTTTTCATGCTCCACAGTATGTCACCTTCACCTTTCTCACATCTCACCTTCCGTTAGTAGGAACAGTGATGACATGTCTATGAAATAGAGCGACCTCCTCTTCTCACCTTTATTTCTCACTCTATTTCTTGGCCAGACATATCATTAGGGTTCCCACTAACAGAAGGTGAGATGGGAGAAAGGTGAAAGTGGTGATCTCAGACCTTGAATCCACTTGTCTTGTTCATCACTGTTCCCACCAATAACAGGTGAAATGTGAGAATGGCAAAGGTAGTGAAAATGAAGGCAGAAGGAAGTGACATTGAGCCTTACAGGGTAGGGTAGTAGGAAAGAGAAAGAGGGTACGAGAAACTGAATGAGTGACAGTATGAATGGGTATGTGGTAAAGTCATGAAATTATACCCCGGAAGCTATTTGATGAGTGGAAGA